AAAATCCAGTGACTACTCCTCACAGCCTGTGAGGTGAGTAATCACTGGGACCAAGTACCGTGTGCCCTGAGTAGACGCAATGATCCAAGTATGACGGCCTTCTGCATACCACCAGCCAGGATGTGTGCCTTATCACGGCACGCTGGGATTTTCTGGATCTCCGAGAGTAGCGTGTGTCGTGTGCCTCCTAGGGAGCCGATAATCAGGATGACAAATTCCACAGAATGGTCTGGATAGAGCCGGCGGAGTTCGAAGAGAAGATCTCGATATTTAGTCCGTTTCTCCTCCTCCTTCAAAACGATGTTCGGTTCGGCTGGCGCCGAAAACTCGATCACGAACATCGCTTTGGTTTGATGGTCGAGGAGGACTACATCAGGCTTGTTAGCTTGTATTTGCCTGAGGGTGGGGAATGAGAAGTTCCAATAAATTCGGCACCTCTCATTCTCCACAACGGACTCAATATCCCCCGGAGCATAGGGCAGCACTGGGGTCTCGTCTATTCCGTACGAGTGCCTCAAGTGATAATAGAGCACTCGCAATGCCGCATTGTGTCTATGGATATAGGCCGAGACTGCATACACCGTGCAAGAAGACAGCAGGTGCATAATTGTCTCGGGCGCCCTGCGGCAGGCCCTGCAATTTGTGTCAGGGACCTCCATACCCATGACACGGCTACGGTAGACGAGAGTGTTGAAAACCCCATCCTGGCATGCCATGATGAACCCCTCTGTTTCCGATTTAAGCCCGCCTGACTTGAGAAAAGCGAAAGTCAGTTCTTTGGATAAGCCCCGGTCTTCAATGGTCTTGAAGTAGACCGAATGCATGGGCTTATCCATGTGAAGCTGCAGGAGCTTTTTCACTTCTGCAGCTTTGATGCGGGCTTTTCTCCGAGCGGGTTCTAGCTCAGTAACTGAGTCCTGAGCCTCGCGCTCGGAGTCGAAAATCAGAGACAATTCATCGGCTGCTCGACGTGCTGCCCTATAAAGAAAAGCTCCTACTCCTGCATCTTCATGGGTTTCAACCATTTGCAGAAGGGGGTCCGAACTCCTGATGACTTTGCAGGCGCCATCCAGAACCATTCTGTTATGGAGATACTCCAAGCTCAAGAGTCCACGGCCACCCTGGTCTCTAGGTATGTATAACCGTGGAACGGACGAATTTGGATGCAGACTCCTATGGAGATGCATCATCTTGCGAGTACTTACGTCAAGTTGTCGCAGCTCGACTTGAGTCCACTTCATCACTCCAAATGAGTAAATTAGGATCGGAACAGCAAGCATGTTAGTCGCAGCGACTTTGTTCTTCCCCGACAGTTCTGACGACCAGATCTGTCGGAGCCGCTGCCGATACTTGCTGCGGAGAGCGTCTTTTACCCGTTGTGCCTCCTGGATGTGAGTTTCCTCTACACCCAGGTAGGTGTACGTCTCTCCGGCATCCAGGTGGCGTAGGATGCTTCCGTCCACGAGCTGCGCGTCCTTGTCGTAGTTCTCGCATCGTCCTCTCTTGAGATGAACCAGTGCACATTTGTCCATCCCGAATTCCATTCCAATTGCCTGCGTGTACTTCTGCACCACCCTGAGGGATTGGTCCATATCCCTCTCACCAGAGGCATAAAGTTTGAGGTCATTCACATAGAATAACTGGGTGACCTTATGCCTCCGGTAACTGGGTGGGCCGCAGTTGTATCCCCTGGTTTTCCTGAGCTCAACGGATAGTGGCAGAAGTGAGATGCAGAATAGGAGAGGGCTGAGGGAGTCCCCTTGAAATACTCCTCTCCTTATGATGACTGGCTCTGTTTGGACTCTCGCTTCACCTGATGTTATGGTAAAGCGGGTCTTCCAGACCAGCATCAGTTGTTCTATGCATCTCACTATAGAATCGGGTACCGAAAGACACTTGAGCAAGTACACGAGTAACTCATGTGACGTTGTGTCAAATGCCTTTCGGTAATCGATCCAGGCCACAGAAAGATTCCGCTTGTACTGCACGGAGTCCTGTGTGATAGCTCTATCTATCAACAGGTTCTCCTTGCAACCAGCGACACCTCTCTTCGACCCACGCTGCTCAAAAATCCGCTGGTAAACCGGGTCAACTACTAGGAGTACTCGCATGTACAAGATGCGTGTGAACAACTTGTAACATGCATTCAGGCAGGTGATTGGCCTGTAATTCTTCGGATTGGACAAATCTCCAGTTTTAGGGAGAAGCACGGTTCGCCCCTCGATAAACCACTCAGGGATTTGCTGCTCCCCATTTAGCCAGCTATTGAATATACTGGCTAAATGGTGGTGGGTAGAGGGAAACTTTTTCCACCAGAAGTTATTGATCCCATCGGGACCAGGAGCAGCAAAGTTCTTGGAGCCTTTGAGGGCTTCTCGAACCTCCTCAGTGGTTATCGGTTGGCGCAGTAATTCGGTCTCGGGCTCTCGGTATCTTTCACAGAAGGTACCGAACTGCGCCAGGGCTGGAGTATCTCTGTCGAATGGATGTCTCACCTCATAGATACTCTTCCAAAAGGTTTCCACCTGATCAGCAGTCGGCGGATTGTTCACCACACTTGGAGGCGGTTGAAATAAGCGAGAGGGCTTTTCACGGAATTGTTTATTTTCCGCCAGCCCTCTCGCTCGCCTCTTTAGTGACTGTTTTGCAGCCACTAACATCCGTATCCTTTCGAGGCAGTGCTGTTTGATGGTGGATAGTACTGCCTCATTGAGTGTGTGATGGGTGCGACGCAATGTATTGGCCATCCGTCGCACCTTCGACGTGAATGGCCTGTTGGCCCTCACATAATCCATCACACACTGGATACGGGAAGTGTGTTGTCTCGCCGACTGGATCTTGGCTTCCATCTTTTGTACACGCCGATCGGCCCTCTCAGTCGGTGAGACCGTTTGTATAGGTCTCTCTGGTAGAGAGGACCGAACGACGTCATACACGGCACAGTTAATGTGCCAGATGTCAGCCCCTTCCGGAAGTGTGCCTCGAAGTAATTCATCCATCCTTGCAAGGTCTTGAGGCCGCAGGGCCTTAATGTTGAGTAGGCTCCTGCGGTTCCTGATCTCGTTCACCTCAGGAAGCACACGGTCCCTTCTCTCGTTGTCGGGCAGAATGGGTGGAGCTTGTTGTTCCTCCACACCATCTTCCTGCCGAGAAGGGACTCTCACGTATTGCCTAGCGCGTAGGTGAGATACATAATCTCGCAGATTTTGAGCAGTGAATGCTCCATGCTCTGGGTGTTGTTCAATCCACAGAGCATGCATCCGCCTCATGTATCCCCTACGCCCTGGATCGCTGCTCTCGAAGCACTGCAGAAGGTCGTCCCTCAGATCATCTGTCCACTCAAAGCGTCCATTTTCTTCGCGGTCGTTATCAGGCTGTCCGTCCTGTTGGGCCCCACCACCTTGCCTTTGACCCCTATCCGGCTGGGGTCGGTTGTGGGGGCCCTGTCCTCGGTTTATGGGAACCAGAGTAATCGGACCTGCCAGGTGGTTAACCTAGCAGGCCCACGGCTGACATAAAAGGAGAAATGAATTTCTCCTCCTGGGTGCGCTCTCGCTGCCAGTCCGATTTTGCACCCTCAGCTCGGAAAGGTGGTGTCGCTACTCACCATAGGCAACCCTCTAAGAGATTAGCCCTCCTGCCATTTTATTATTATTATTATCATTATTATCAATATTATCATTATTATTATTAGTGAAATGATATTTTCTATATATCACTTCAAAAGTCACTGTGTATGAATGAACCATTCCATTTCCATTTGGAATGCTTTGGAAATACGGCAGTCAGTCATCACTGGGCCAACAATGAACCAGCAATAAATGGTCTGCTTCGCCAATATTGACGTTAAGTCGGCTAGTGGGCAACTTCTGTGATTCAAGACAATCTGTGATATCGATATCAAACCCAGACAGCATTAGATATTCCTAGAATATCCTCAAAATATGCTAAAAGAGGAGAGTATATTCCGAATATCCACCAAATATTTCTAGAATATACATGTGCCCCTGGAATATCCAGAGAATATTTGAATTTCCATATTCTAGTGATATTCCAAAATGATAAACACAGAATATTCTACGAATATTCCAGTTGGGTTGTTTAGGGAATTTTCAGGTATGGATATTCCAGGAATATTCCCAACTGAATATTCTGATTTGTCTATTCATGGGATATTACATAATCATCATTCTCATGTGTTTCCATGAAATATAGTATAGAATAAACACCAATAACTATATTATATTTTATAGATGCGAGTATCAAACATTCATTATATGATAAAAGTGTGGTAGAAATCAATCGTATCTCAAAGTGGAGTGGTTAGTTACCAGGAATCAGGATCACAAAGCCATCACCACAATTTTAATAGGGATCAAATTATACCTACTCAATCAGACCATCGTACATGTTTCGTGCCCATATAGGCTCATCATTATTATTATGTATCAAGATTTTGAAACATGAAGTGTTTATAATCCGATTATGAACAACGCACTTTGAGAAATTGTTATGTACAATATCATTCGACTCGATTACTGGCCTAGTGGTTGAGGCGTTGCTCTGACAATCTGAAAGTCACGAGTTCGAGCCCATCTTGGGTCAGCTTTTTTCAATTATGAATATGTTCAGTGAAATATGCCAGGAATATTCAGTTATTAATATTCCTGTACTCTCCCTGGAATATTTCGAATATTATCTGAATATTACTTGAATATATTAGGTACGTTCTGAATATATAGGGAATATTCCTTGTGAATATTCTAGGAATATATACATTCTTCCCCACCAGCACATTTAGGGAATATTCCGTAGAAGATATATACCTATATCCCTGGCATGTTCATGAATATTCTCAATATCCAAAAATAATATTCTATGAATATTCATGGAATATCTGGTGCTGTCTGGGAAAATTGTAGGTACCTGTTATTCCCTTTGCCCTCGCCTGTCTACGCCCATGTGTGTGCGCAAGCGTGACAATGTGATTCATGTACATTAATTTCACAACGCAACGATCCGTCTAAAACGCAAGAACCTGTAAACGCCAAGCAGATTAGTAAGTCTAAGTCAGTTCAGTTGGTGGTTTCGTGAAGTTAGTATAGGTACTTACACTTCATCAAAAGTTTCTTCGGCCCCTATCACGGAAAAATGGCGGTAAGTCAAAATCAAAGATTGAATTAAAAAAATAAGGGAAGTGTGCTCTAAAATCGATTGGTCATTTTTATGGCCATATAGGTAGAAGGAATAGTATATACTAGTTTTTTATGTTTGGATAAATATTTTATAGCCTGTGTGTTCAAAACCACCACACCTATTTGAGAACTATGATTATCGATTTGAAGTAATGAAAAACTTGTGTGTTAGAAGTGATAATACGGGGTGATTCAAAATTCGATGTGAATATTTTGAGGACCTATACTGTTGGGAAAAATAAGACTTTTTCTTTATATAGACATAATGTCCTAATCATGGACGTCGAGGTCCTAATAGTCATTCCCTCCTTGCTACAGCCACTGTAATTCAGGTAAAGACAAAATATATATATTCTGAAATTGTGACTGAAATAACGGATCAAAATCTTCTGAAAATTGGCTGACCCTTGTCCTCTTCCTTCGAAAATTATGTAAACACAGTTATGGATGGTTGAAGGGAGGGTCCTCACTTTTATTGGCCGAAATGGGGTGCATTTTAGGACACCTAATTATATGAAGAATAATAAGTCTTATTTTGATCCCAACAATACGTGCTTAAAATATTTACATCGAGTTTTGAATCACCCTATATATTATTACTTTTATATGACCGGTCAGTATTTCCAATTTCTTTTGGACAATACGGGGGAGGGGGGATATCTGAATGTACTTCATATTAATTTCATGTAATATATCCACGTATTCGTAGTAAGGATGAACTTTAACTGAAAAGTATTATTGATGATGGACAAATATCAGGAATGGAAAATTTCGAATCACATCTTGTCTAAAGTATTCATTACTCAGCCTGTGTATTATTAATGATGTGAATGATGTATTGAAATATTTTGTAATGCGAGCGAGAAGATAATATGATTAGACCGAATATCCGTGACTTCGATGCATGTATTAGATTTGCAAGACTCGAGGTCGTCGCATATATCAACATATTACATACTTTCTTCTCTCCGCTCTTATGGTACGCGTGCTTTCGTGACGCGAGTTTGCCTGTTTACTTCCATTCCAGAAAATGCCTAACGGGCCTATAGACGTTATCACTCCAGAAATATTAGGTCGGTAACCAAGCATTTTCGAACCCTGTCTATCTTGGGGGAAAATTTGGAATAGTTTTCACCTCGATTTTCACCTTCCCAGGATCAACTTTCATTTTTGATAAAAAATCAGTTTAATATGAACTGATGCAGATTGATGTTAATGTTAATAATTATCAATGGGGATTTTTTTACAGAAACCTTACGTGAATTGAATATATATAATGGCAAATATTTCAAATCGATATACTGACATTTGGATTTATTGAAGTACAGGTGTAATATTCAGTGACGAATCCAAGATTCTCTTCAGGAAGGACGCACAGTAGCGGACTCAGATTAGACATAGACTCTGACATTTTGTTCGCTACATAGAAAAAAAAAACTTTTTGATTCAATTTCTATAATTCAAATCGAACAGATTAATTATATTTTTCCGTTCTACTGACGATCCACAGGTCAATCAAATTGTGGAAACTTTATAATAGGAGAGCCGGCTGAAAATTTCGACCGTTATCTGATAACCAAATGTTATACACGGAAAAAAGGATTTGTTGCATCAACAAATTATTTAGGCTTGAATTATATTTGTTGGACTGAGCAATTTTTTGTTGAATCAAACAGATACATGATTATTTCATGGAATCAGCTTGTTCAACTTGAGAATACAGTTCAATTGAATCAACAGTCATATCAATTCCATATCAACAAAATATATGGTTATCTGAAAAACAAATTATGTCGATCCAAAATAATGTCGATGTTGATTCAACTATAAACATTTTGTTGATTTGATGAAATAATGATCATTTTGATAAGAATATATATTTGAAACAACATACAAGTTTTTTTATTCTGATGTAACAATGAACTTGTTTTGGACGGATCATTTGCTTTAATAGAGCAACGAAATATGCAATATCAATGGAATATTTCGTTCATTCCACTCGGATTCTATTTTCGCCACTAGATGGCGACCTTTTCGCCTCGTCTATGCCTGCCTCAAATTCATTACATACGTGAAGCCTGATTCCTCGTGTTTGGAATATCAGCAGGATGAACTACCCTTGCATCAGCTGAAGAGAAGTAAAGGCTAGAGATGAATGCTAGAAGTCGAATAGTTTCCTAGTTTAGTTTATTCTATTCAGTATTGATGTGCAATTTCTGGAAATTCTCAGATCAATACTGAATTTGGTTCAACAAAACAATTTGTCGAATGGAAATACAGTTTCCGTTGAATCAACGAAATATTTCATTGGAACAACAAATTATTTCAATGAATCAACCAAATATTTCATTAAATCAACCAAATATTTGATTCAATCAACTAAATGTTTGATTGAATCAATATCTTGTTATTTTGAATCAAACAAAATGATTGTTTGGGCCAATTCATTATCTCTTCATAAATAATTCATCGATATATATGTAAGTTCGTGTTTCCGATTAAGAAAACAGATTGATCAATATTCGATCTTAGTATTTCACATCAAAATCAAAAATTTTGCAGTTTTCTTCATTTATTGATATTCATAGATTCGATCGTGTCATGAATTATCCAAGAGATGAAAAAGGACATATCATTTATTTTATATATATTATAATAAACGAATTTATCAGCCGACAGTCCATCACTATGAAAATTTCCACGATGATGAGGATGCCCAACAACTCAAGGATGCCATGGATGGTATGGGAACCAATGAGGAAACCATCACACAAATTTTAACCGGACGGACGAATCAACAAAGACGGATTATCAAAGATACATACAAAACAATGTTTGGAGAGGTAAATAGCACAGAAAATTAGCGAATATTTGTAATAGTCTATATACGCCTGCACCCTGCACCATGTTCTCCGAAAATCATAGGAGCTCACCCCCTTTCGTGCACTCCAATAGATAAAAATAAAAAAAAATGCGGGGAACTTATACTCATTTCAATTCTAGGATTTAATAGAAGATTTGAAGAGTGAGCTTGGTGGGAATTTTGAGACGATCATCTTAGCACTACTGGACGAACCTATAGAGTATCAAGCCAAAGAGTTGCATCATGCTATCAGTGGTGCAGGCACTGATGACCTCACTCTAGTAGAAATATTATCCATACATAACAACGATGAAGTTATCCAAATATCCAATAAGTACCAAGAACGTAAGTGAATTCAGTATTCTTATTGGTTCAAGAAGTTATCACATACTATTATCAATGAGTGTTACTCTACTTCATCTTTAGATTTCTGCTTGCCCAATTCAGGAGATTTTTTTTTACGATTTCACTCATCATAATCACAAACCAAAGGCAACCAGTAGGTATTATCACGAAAACACTAGCTGTCTCTCAATTCTGATAGGTCTTTCAGCGTTGTAACTGAAGTTGTTAGAATATAGATTACTTTGTGGTAATGATAGATCGTTCATGTTTATAATGAATGATTCTCATGTTTCGTGAAATACACTAGCAAAATATCACTCTCTTATGACACACTTCTAACAATTTTGTCTCTTATTGTTGACTAAAAAGTGCTGCCGAGCAATTCACGCGGCATGTTATTTTCTATAGCGAATAGGCAACCAAACATACACCGCGTTCATTCACTGTTTGTGCTACAACTTACGTTATCTGAATTCAGATATGAAATATGGATTTCATCGAAGATTTTCCGTCAACGGCCTTTCCCACTTTCTGGAACGTTTTTGATTCCTGTTTTCTAACAATAGTACTTCATTTTCTATGTTGATTATTCCGACAATAATTGTCAAATGTCGCTGATATCAGTGAAAAACCTATACTGGGTGATTCTTACATTAGTTTTCGGATGAATGATGAACTCGCGAACAAACTCTTCTTCAGTGCAGAAGAAATGTGGAATATATATAAGTCGACGGAAACATCAATTGTGACCAACTCGTGTATCAAAGGCGATTAATAATCTCGAACATTAACGCGCTCGCGTTGCTCGCACGTTGAAATATCTCGATCATTAATCGCCCTCTAGTTGGCTAAATAACTGTTTTTATCATTCAATGAACAGAAAGTTTCCGTCTATAGCGAGGCTATTCAGTGTCATTCATATAAAGTCGTCGGCATCATCATGAGGAAACAACTTTAAATAATAATTTATTCGGAAATCCGACTTGGGCGTTAAGTTTTGCTTTTGAAGATATAACAAATGGACTACTTAGTTGTGGTCACGTGACTTTCGCTACATGTCATGTATATTATTTCAAATTGATGGCTGAAAATAGGCTTATTTATTTGAATTTCAAGAAAGTTCAATTAGAAAAGTTGTTTCTATTCTAATTTTACATATGTTCCTCGAATTTGAACGTTTTATTGTAACTTTAAGTTCTTGATAGTTTTTTGAATTTCTATGAAATGTCTATGATGAATGATTTTTTTCAGAAAATGATAATCACCGCTAGAAATTTCTGTTACGTATTTGATGCAAAGTTGATTTATCGTCTATCATTCAGATGCGAAATATATTCAAATTGTTTTTTCTGTACTTAAATGATGCCAAAGTCATCTATCAAATGATCATCAAACTACTTCACGTAAGAAACCAAAGTTTGGGACAATTTTGACGAAGTTACAATGAGAAGAAATAAATAAATTTCAAGAACTGAAAGTTGCAATTGTTCAAATTTGGGACACATGTGTAAAATTGAAAGAAAAACCACTTTTCATAGTGGAGGTTTTTGAAATTCGAACAAATCAGAGATTTTTTTGGAAAAATGCAACTTTTGACATGTAGAGCAAGTCACGTGTATCGACCGTGAAGGCTATTTTTCATATTTTTTTAAACTCAACTGTCGCCCAAGTCGTATTTCAAATTGAATTCTTGTTGGCAGTTTTTCCCATATGATGCCAACTTTATGAATTACACTGTATATAAAAACGTTACCTGCCGACGAGACTAGTGCGGTGTGACGTCTCAGGCCAACCTAGACAGTTATTTTAGTGAAGTTCTTACGATCTTCCAATTTCTAGAGTAAAATGTCGCCTAGAAGTGGTGTTTCGTGACAATTCATAATCATATCTCTCTTCTCAACTATAGACATCCATGGATATGTACAGGGTGGTCAACTAAGACTCTAGAGTTCGATTTCTCTGTTGTCTTGAGAGATACAAAAACAAAATCATTAATCAAAATTGAAGTAATAACCGAGCTTCACATTTCAAAATTTCTTTGAAATACACAGGGTGTTCCGTAAGGTCACAGCACATCAAAGCTATGTTTTTTTCATTGGAACACCCTATACTTTATTTCATTTTTGAATTCACCCTGAAGATCTGATTTCAACGACTCATCATACTTAGGGTCTAGCAGTGAAAGTTACTGACATATAGGGTGTGCAAAATCGAGATTTTCCAAGTTCAGGATTTTTTTCTGTCGAAACTGTTCATTATTCGTCAAAACGGTTCACATGTCCCTATCTCAACTTTTCAGTCACTATCAATTGGTTTTCAATTGCAATTGATACAAGGTGGCCAAAAATCTAAATTTATAATTTGTTTCAATTAAATGTCAATTGAACACCAATTGATAGTGAGTGAAAAGTTGAGATAAGGACATGTAAACCGTTTCGACGAATAATGAACAGTTTCGACAGAAAAAAAACCTGAACTTGGAAAATCTCGATTTTGCTCACCCTATATCTCAGTAACTTTCACTGCTAGACCCTAAGTATGATGATACATCGTTGAAATCAGATCTTCAGGAAGAATTCAAAAATGAAATAAAATATAGGGTGTTCCAATGAAAAAAACATAGCTTTGATGTGCTGTGACCTTACGGAACACCCTGTGTATTTCAAAGAAATTTTGAAATGTGAAGCTCGGTTATCACTTTAATTTGAATGCAAAACTTTTTTTTTTGTATCTCTCAAGACAACAGAGGTATCGAACTCTGGATTCTTAGTTGGCCACCCTGTACATAAGGAATCGCTATTTTCTTCTCCTACGGCAATGGCACAAAACAGTTCTGATTTCATTGTGTTATCGCTAGAGTTATTATTATACAATTAGTGACGCCTGCTATGGAATGTCAAATTCCAAGCAATACATGACTGATAGCTTTGTTTAATCAATATCGTAGTGAAATGCGAGGTGAAATATATGGGTGAAATGTGTCAAACCACATTATATGAAATGAAGATAGAAAAAAGTGAATCAACTGTGCGTGAATATTGTGTATTTTGAGTATCAACTTTTTTTATTTTGAAACTTTCTGAAAGAATAAAAATATTATCGTTTATATCATTTTATACATTCGATATGTAATTGATATTCTTATTGTAATTAGAGATTTTGAATACGATGCATTTTCATTGATTTCATTTTGAAATCAATATTTTTATCATTCAATATGCTAGATTTTAGCCAGCAATTGCTTTTCAGAAGTTAGTTTTTCTCACCTATTTATTCATTTAGTCGAAGACAAATTATGAGATTCTACATAAATTCACATAATATTTTTTCTCTGTGTATCCAGACCTACATGAACTCGTATGTAATTGGAAGGGTAAAACCTCGGTAAAACCAATGTATATTGTTTTCTGTTTGTAGTCATTCAGGAAGAACGACACGGTCTATCTATCGTTCTTTTTCTTCTTTATGCACATTTTTCCCTTATATAGATAACTTCAACTATAGGATGTAGGCCACTGGCCACTAGGGGCACCGCCTAGCTATCGATTAGATATATGGTTGGTCTTAGATTCAATCAAACAATGGATTAGGAATTAACAATCAACAATTATTAATCATGAGGGTGTTTATACATATCTGATAATAATTAAAAATAAGATGTGAAATGACTTTTGATTGATGATCATAATGATATTAAGGAGTGAATTAAGTCTACACAATTCATTACTTGATAAATAATATTCCAATTAAAAATCACCAAACTCCACTTGAACAATGATAAAGTCAATCTTCATGTTCTGTCTCCAGAATTTCCTAATTGTTAGTTGTTGAGTTGAAAGTTGGTCAACTTTGTAATTCTTAATTCTTAATTTATTAAATGACAGATGTAAATGTATAAACCCTCATAGGCGTTTCCTTGTACTCAACTTTTCAAGTTCATAGTTGTTAGTTTAATTCTTAGTTTAGTTGAATCTATAAACCCAGCATAATACAGGGTGAGTCAGAAGAAGACCGAGAAACTTCGTATACGGATCCCCTACTTCATTTTGAAGAGGAAAGTTCTTATCAACGTATGCGTCCTGAAATTCACCCTCTCTGAGATACAGGGTGTCAAGCGTACGAAAAAAATTGAGGTTTATATTCATATCTTGTAGATGTTCCTGAGATATTTGGGAAAAACTAAGGATATGTCTTATGGTAATATTAAAAGAGACCCAATTTGGTGCTTGCTATAATCGCATAGGTAACGCTGATTTTTCACAAGAGATCAGATATGTGTTCAACCTCTTGAACTTTCCTGAATATTGACAACATGACAAACAGAACACGAAAAAAAAAAGGATTGGTTGCATCAACCAATTAAAAGGAGATAATGGTGTTCAAAATCGAGATTTTTTCAATTTTAGGATTTTTCGAGTCGAAAGTATTCATAATCGATCAAAATGGCTCACATGTCCCTATCTCAAATTTTGATTCACTATCTACTGGAATTTAATAGGAAAAAATACAAGGTGCTTCAAGATTCAGAATTTTGATCACCCTGTATTTGTTTCGATTAAATGTCAGTAGATAGTAAATCGAAAGTTGAGACATGTAAGCCGTTTTGATTGATAATAAATAGTTTCGACACAAAAAAATCCTGAAATTGAAAAATCTCGATTTTGAACACCCTAAATCTCTGTAATCATTCTTGCTAAACCCCAAGTGTGATGCATTGATGAAATCAGCTCTTTAGGAAAAATCTAAAAATGCACTAAGATACAGGGTGCTCGATTTAAAATAATGAAGCATCTCAATTTTCAGAATGTTCTGTCTTTTCGTTCTCCAGATACTTCTAATAGGCCATCCACCGTGGATCACCCTGTATATACATTGAGAATTCGCGTTCTCTATGTGATGAAAATATTGATTCTTTCTCAGCTAAGCAAGTATAGATATGTAAAAAATTGTCATTCGAAATATTGGCTGTGATCAAGGTCATCATCTGACATTGCGATGAC